TCCCTGGGGAGAGCTTTCGTGATCATGTACGAAAAAAACCGTCTCAGGCCTCTCGCTCTAAGATCGAGGCTCAAGCCTGATGGCCTGCAGAACTTCTCTGAAATCGCTTGCATTGGGGGACCCGGAGCATGGGCACCGGGCACCGCCAAGGACCCCAACATCGAAGGTCCTCCTTGCCTTGCGATAGGCAGCAGTGACGTCATCTCAACAGCAAGGCTAACTCCCTCGGAGGCAAAGCCCTTTCCATTGGGCCAAGGGACAGCTTCAGAGCCGTGATCGCGGAGGTCGCAGAGGCGGCAGTGGCTCCGTGGCCACCACGTGGCTCGAGAGCCTTTGTTTCTCAAACCCAAACCCAACACACGAAACGAAGTCGAGCCATGAGTTCAACGGCCCTATGGCTCCCGCTCCCAGGTCCTAGAGGCGAGAGGCAGCCCCATTCGGTGCAAAGCCCTGGCCGCCCAGTCATCGTCCTTGAAATCGTTGCCGATGAAAACCTGGGTAGCACAAGAAACTTTGGAAAGAGCTGGACACTTCAGGTATTTGCACAACCCAGTACGCATGTCAACTCCAGGATCGGCGGGGGGTTCCTCCAAATCCCGGAGGAAGGGAAACTCCCCCAAGTCCTTGCCGAGACTCCAGCTCGACATCCTTCATGCCGAAGCGGCCCTTGTACAAGTCAAAGTACTTCTTCAGGTGCTCGAGATACCCAGCGTGTGCGGCATCCACCTGGTCTGGCTTGTACTCGGAGGCGGGGAAAGGCGGAAAGACCACGGAGGTTGTCTTGTCCGTGAGAGGCATAGAAGTGCCCATCCACCCAAAGAATGGGATAATGCCTACAAAGATGTGCTGGGACAGTCGCGCCCGCGCGGCGCGTAGTGTCCGAGGTGTCCGGTACATCCAGCTCTGGCGGAACGTGTAGCAGGGGACGATGTCCTTACCCTCCTCCACAGCGATCCTCACAAAGCCCTTTCCTCACAGAACTTGCTCTGACACGCAAGCTCTCACAAGCACTGCAAGCCGAGGCTCTGTTCTTTAGGTAAGAGTACTCGTACTTGCGCTCTGCGGAGTTGACGAAGACTGCCTCCCACTCATAAACGACTTGCCCAAGCACCCCGACACTGCAGCCGTGGCTGTCTCTGGGCACTGTCATCGCCAGCCATGATGGTGCCCGCTCCTCGGAGAAACCGCCGGGAATGAGCGCCGGGTCAGTGTCTGCAGTCTTCCACCACCTCAGGACTGCACCCCTTTCGAGCACAATGACCGCCACTGTCAAAGGCAAACAGCTGGGGCATGGCAGCCGAGTGTCTTGACGATGTCTCTCCTGCTTGCCGAGGTGCACAAGTCCCGGTACATCTCCTCGGCTCAAATGAAAAAAAACATCTCGGAGCTCAAACGACAATGAGAATGAGGAGTCCCCCCACCCGCCCTTCAGCAGTCCTGGTGCACTGGCACATGCTGGATAACGGGTGCAAAGCCTCAGATGATGCCAAACCGAACCCGTCGCCACGATTCCTTGCACCGATTGAACTAACAGACAGTCTAGTCGCAAAGGGCAATCTTGCGCCCCACAGCAGGCGGGCCCTTCCCGGAGTCTGCGAAGGATTCCAAGTTCCGAGCCTCACGTTGAGTGGCGAGGTGGTGTGATTGCAAGCCTCCATGCCCATTGTAGTCAGGCCCGAGGCTGAAAAAGCACTCCAACAGAGTAGTTGCAGCCGTGCCAAGAAGCGGATCTGTTCAGATTTAGGCATGGGTCTAACGTTACCTCAAACCCAACCTGGATCACCAAGCCATGACCCAAGTGCGGCCCAGGAAACGATCAATGAGTGCCAGCCATCTGCAAGGAGACCGTGTGGGTGCAGTGACCACAGGTATCGCTTGTCGTCTTTGATCCTGTGGGCCGCTGGTTGGGCGACTGAGTTTGACTGCTCGACCTGCTCCGTGTTTTCAGCTCATTCTGAGACAAAGCAAGGACTTGCACAAGAGTTGCTCTTGTTTCAACTGCGTCGGATGTCTTGGCAGCCTGCATGAGCCCTACAGCCTACAACTCCTACAACGCACCAAGACCGCTCTGTCAGAGGTCCCCTGCATTGTGATCCCAAGGCAGTCCCACCCCCGTCTTGCCGATAGTCGAAAGTCTCGACCCTGCGAAGTCTTGAAATCCCAGACTAGGCAGGAGACACGTCTGTATGCTCGTTGACGAAGCGATGTCGACGAGATGCTCCATATCCAAAAAACCTGCGAGGCCCAATGTGGTCTCTTCGTGGTGAGCTCTTCCAGAACACTACGCAGGTTCACTCTCCGATAGTTTTGAGATAGGCAGCGTGTTCTTGCTGCTAGCTCTTTTTGTACGCTGGAGGCGCTGTGGAGAGCTTCTCCTTGTACCTGGCGTTTTGTTATGCTGGGTTCTTCCTTGTTATGCTGAAACGTGCGTTCTTTCTGCTACTACTCCTGCGCTGCTGCTGCTGCGGCGGTCTCGTGGCCAGATGTGCACCAGGCCAGCGCTTTGAGATCTGATGCCCTTTTGAAGGTCTTCTGACACCAACGGAGCTCGATTTTCGAGTTGGGCCCTCAAAACAGAGAAATCCAGTAGGCAGGAACTTCGGCTGAGATGACCCGAACGAAACTCAACGCGATGGCTCTGCGGATTTCCCAGCGCCCGTGGCCTGTGCACGCTTTGCTGCCACCAGCGTTGGCGATGGACAGCTGTGTAAGCAACAATACCGGCCAGAGTCTTAAGAGGTTGATAGACCAAGAGGGGCGGGATGAGAACACCATAACCTCGGACTGGCTTTGGCTTCACATCTTGCACACTAAACTGGATCGTTCTGCGAAAGTAACTGGCGCCATCATCAAAGAAACAAAACGCTGTCAGCTTCACCGTGGACTGGCTGAGCCTCCCCTCCAGGAGGAGACACCAAACGGGTGAATGTACATACAAAAGCATGCCAACAAACACCAGACCCGTCCATGCAAATGTACATAGATGCGTGCAGACAGATATGATCTACATCTGGTTCCAATACACGAGTGTTGTGTATGTATGCATGTATACATATACATATACATATACATATATATATATATATATTTGTGTGTGTGTATGCATATACATACACACATACGTACATATATACATACATACATACATACATACATACATACATACATACATACATACATACATACATACATATACACACACGTGGGTGTGCAGCCTGCAATCAGCCTCTAAGGCAAAGGCCGAAGAGGCGCCAGGAATGGAAGAGCCAGTATATGGGAGGTCTCCTTGCGGGAGACAACGGCGCATGGGTTGATCGCAAGGGAGGGAGTCAAGAAACTAGTTTTGGGTCTCGGGCTATTGGGTTGCAATCCTGTAACTGCAACCGCTTCTCGAAACACTCATACAGAAGGGGCCTAAACATGTAGAACCGATTCAAGAGTTACCCTGGGCCGAGGCGCAGCAGCCTGTCACGAAGGCTCGTCGTGTCTCGCGACGCCTCTTCCATTGCCGAGCTCTGGCTGCGACACCTATATAATAGGACCTACATTGGGATGCTTCTTATGTATGCATGCAATTCTGCAGTACGTACATCGTCATAACATACGACTGTATGTATACGACCGGACCCTTCCTTTGTCTACATCTCTCTCTTTCTCTCTCCGGGATGGCTAGCCAAACTACGACTGCAAGTGCTTGCGTTTGCTGCCTCCGGCCGACTGTCAGTTGCTGCAAGTGCCCAAGCCTGGAATCCCTGCTGCGAAGACCGGCAGGTGCTTGAGCCAGCTGGGTGGAGCCGTCAATTCTCTCGAACTCGATTAACAACAACAGGACCTGCGGCAAGATTTTCAAGCGGGGTCTTGCCACAGAACTCACGAGCAGGAACCTGCACGGAAAGTCGACCCCCTGAATGTCCTCACCCGTCCCTACACCTTTCCAGCACACATCCGTCCTTGAGCTTCGACGTGACAGGCCCCGGAGACGGAAGGTCAACTTCCTGCCCGGCCTGTTCCAGCAACGAAAGCTATGGCGGACGAGAGTATTCTGGTGGTTTATGAGCATAAGCTCTTCATGCCTTGGGCATCGCAGTCCAGAGTCCTCCGTCCCTAAAGCCCTCAGCTTTAGTTGCCGTATGGCTGCACACTTGCGGAACAGTCGAACAGTTGGCTTCCACAGTCTCCGTGAAATTGGACGACCCACCCACGCCCGTTCGAGAGCAACTAGGACTAGATTGAAGCCCTACTGGCCCGAAGGAGTGCTCCTCGAAGTCAGAAATTCATTCCGGTGGAGCGGTTGGTTCTAGGCACAAGGAGCGACTTTTACGGCATGTGCACGATTTAGTGCTCTTTGTAGACTCTGCCTCCATAGTCGCTCTGGCCATCTTTGCTGTCTGGCATTCTGTCGCAATTAACCCTTAGCCTTAGCGGCCTTAGCGTAACCTGTTTTGGCATACTCTGTTGATGTGCACCTTTTTCCGGTCAATTGATCACTGTGTGCGTGATAGTACAAAATTAATAGTGCCTTTCATCGAAGACCTTCATGTTGTTTGCAGGATGCCGGCGGTGCCCTTAGAGCAAGCATGCACCCGCGGGCATGTACACAGCCCCCAAGTGACTCGTCTTCTTCCCACCCGGCGGGTGGTGTGGGTCAAGGTCCCTGGCACCCCTCGAGCTTCAGGGGCTGGGAGGGAGGGACAGCGAAAGTTTTCGGCCGTTCACTACAAGTTTCCTGCAGCATGCTAGGGCTATGCATAATGCATAATTAATTACAAGCCTACGCACACTGCGCGGGTGCCTTTAGTGCGAGCCCGAGCATGCGCCCGCTGGCTTGTGCGAAGGGGTGAAATGCCAGGAGTAACGTCCAAGTGATTCGTCCTCACATCTCACCCGCGGGTGGTATGGGCAAACATCCCTGGCACCCTGGCACCCCTTGAGCCTCAGGCATCCTGAGCGAGCGTCACCCATGTCAAGCAGGTGCGCATGCGCCAGCCGGAGCTCTGAAACACGCATCAAACAGGGCCCTCAAGCAGCGCACCCTGCCGTTTCGGTTGGCGGGCACCGACTGTTGCAGGAGCAACGTTCGGGATGAATACGACAAGTGCGCTCCGGCCAACGGCCCATATAAGCATAGTGGCCTCAAGATTTTGCTTTGGATGTGCTGCCGGCAAACGGTGGCTCCCCTTGTGCAAACCGTACAAAGCAAAAACGTCCAGCAGCAGCAAGAGAAGCTGCAGACGAAAGCGAGAGAGCTCACGGAAGCGGGCGGGTGGGAAGGGACAAAAAGCCGCTGCAGCAGAACTGGACCCCATTCGCCGGCACCACATGCCCCGAAGGGAGAAACGCGATGTTGCTTCCCTGTGCCAAGTGCATCTCGGGAAAATGCGTGAGTTGCAGGAGGTGCTAGGGAAAGCTGCTTGAGTTGAAGGAGGCTCGTCCCTGGCCTTCACCACCTCCCGCGGGTTCGGGGCCACCTACTCGGGAGCATGGACCCTGACCCAGTTGTTGCAAAACTGCTGTGCACCGAGAATGTGGCAGGAAAAACCACTGGAAGAAGCTCGCATCGGACCTCAATGAAAGCCGGCGGCGAGGAAAGGCGAGGAGGAAGTCGAAGGCCAAGCAGCGCAGCTTGGGACCCGCTGAAGTGGAGGGTTCTTGTCCTCTTCGAAAGAATTAGAGCAGGAATCAACCGAAGCGTCCGCCCCCTTCTCATGGGTGCAAGGTGGAGAGCATCTCGTCAAGGGGCTCTAGCCCACCACCGGCCTCTCCATCCACACCCTCCGAGGAGGAGAGCGGCAGAGGCCCAAGAAGAAGAAAAACGAGAGGAAAGAGGAACAGAAGGCGAAACCCGACAGCGGCCTCTTCCGCGGAGGAAGCCTGCCGCATCGGAGTACTGTGCAGGACAGGCATCCGGCCCTGCGAGGTGAGGGGCTTTGTTCACGACAAGACTGGCAAGGTCATGACGGGCAAGGCAGGGAGGTGCAGCGATGAATATCGCGAACAGCCTCCTCGACCTCCCTGGCGAGCAGCATTTTCTACCGTACGTCGCGCAGCTCATCATGGTTCAACATCCGCTTTCAACCTTTTTGCTCTCTCCGGGTGCTTCACTTTCTCCAACAAAATACCAGGCCGCTGCGTGGGCTCAACCCGCTCTGGTCCTCCACGGTCACCTTGGTCCACGCCACCGTGAGGAACCTGGTGTTCAAGAGACCGTCCCCACGCGGTGGAGACAAGCTCGGTGAAACCCTTGCCGGGACAGCACGAGGTTCCTTGGCTCGTTGAGGAGGTCTTCTACTTCATAACGGAGGCCCGCCAAGGACCGGTGGTGCGCAACCCGACTGTCACCGACGAGGTCCTCACCTTCCTCGCCAATTTTCACCGGTGCCAGAGTTCAGATCCTCCGCAGACGGCCACAGAAGGAGACGAGGTGTCCCGACTGGCCCAAACCAACGAGTACCGCCCTTTCTCTTTTCCAGTCTGCGTGCAGGTGCAGGAGCACAGGGCTAGGGGCTCCAAGAAGGCCGTTTTGGCAGAGTTCATAAACGTCCTTTCTCAGGAGGGCGAGTCCCCGACAGAGCCTTGTCCAGTCTGCAGCTCGAGCGCCCCGAAAGCTTCGGTGGAGCAGGGGGCTGGCGGTCCAGCTCCCATCCCAGATCTTCCGCGGGCCGGTCTTGCGGAAGTCTGGGTCATCTTCAAGGCGCAATGCAAAGGGCGGTTTTTTGCGGCCGCACTGCCCGAGAGGCTCGGCGCAAACGCAGCTACAACCCGACACGGCCATCACACTCACGCTGACCCAGCAGGCCCCTTGGGAGCCCATGAAAGGATCCGGGCCACCAGGGCCATAGGGGGTAGCCATGAGGACCATGCCTCAAGGTCCGTCCTGAGGCAGGCATGGGCCGCACAACGCCCGCAAGCGGAGGTCCTTTTTCTAAGCAACCAGTGGCTGCAAATTCTCAAAGGCAAACATGGCTTTCACTCTTTTAGTTGCTTTCCCTTCGCGTACCTCCAATACTTTCTTCGGCGGAAAACAAACTCACGTCTTGCGTGCAGCTTGAAGGCGTGAGCCCCCTTACATCTTTGGCGCAAGCAAGCGCATTTAGATGTTACGCGTTCCTTTCAATGAGCTGCTTGTAAACCAACCTCCTGGCTGTCTTGGCTTTGCACGACCTTCTACGCGTAACTACGACTTGGGCACCTTAAACTGCGATCTGGGTTGTTGCGCTCTTGGCGGCGGATGTTGACACCCGTAGTCTGTCTGCTATGCTACAGTAGCTGACATTCGGAGTTTAGTTGAGAGTGAATATCATACTTCACCTCACGACTCAGCTGTCTTTAGCCAGTGCTCTGCCTTCAACTAAAAACTACATAACGCTCTACCTGAATAGAATTCACGGAGAATCAGCTATCCGCTCCTCGCCGATGTGCTCCACCGGAGTAACCTTGCAACTCGGCAAGTCTCCAAAAACACTACTGTCTCGCATCAGCCGCTGCAAAATCAGGGGCCGCAACGCCTGTAAAGCACAAACGGCTTTCACTCTTTTAAAATTGCTCCGAACTCTCCCTTCAGGTACCTCCAATACATTATTCGGCGGAAAACAAACTCGCGTCTTGCGTGCAGCTTGAGCCCCCTTAACACCTTTGGCGCAAGCAAGCGCATTTAGATGTTACGCGTTCCTTTCAATGAGCTGCTTGTAAACCAACCTCCTGGCTGTCTTGGCTTTGCACGACCTTCTACGCGTAACTACGACTTGGGCACCTTAAACTGCGATCTGGGTTGTTGCGCTCTTGGCGGCGGATGTTGACACCCGTAGTCTGTCTGCTATGCTACAGTAGCTGACATTCGGAGTTTTGTTGAGAGTGAATATCGTACTTCACCTCACGACTCAGCTGTCTTTAGCCAGTGCTCTGCCTTCAACTAAAAACTACATAATGCTCTACCTGAATAGAATTCACAGAATCAGCTATCTCAATGCTTGGTTGTTGCATCTGGGGTAATCTCGAGACCAGTGGTTCCGTGAAGTGACCTAAGCCTCGGACAGCAGCAGCAGTTCCGGACACGAAGGCCTTGCATGTGCCAACGAGTTAGACTCTTAGACTAGTCTTAGACGTTAATTGGGGCTCTGAGCTCCGGGTCTGGGCTGACAACGGGTTTGCTCTTGCCCTTGACTACCATTGCGGGTTGTGACGCCACTGCTTAATGTTGACTTCCTATCAATAAACCGCCCCCCGCCCCCAGCCCTCAACGATTTTCAGGTTACCAGAGGTTCGCGAGTTGCTTCAGGCTTGCGTTGATGCTGTTCTGGAGCTTCTTGGTTTCCTTTTGCCCAGCAGTGCCAGGTCTCCCAGATTTAGTTGCATACAGCGCTATTCCACAGTCCCAAGCCGGCTGCGTTCACCTGGGGATTGAGGGATCCACGTATTCCTCTGAATCCCACCCATGTGCGGGGGGAGGGGGCACGATTCTGGAGGTGTTGCCTTCGAAACGCTCGAAGTGCCACAAGTCCTCGCGGACACTGTGAGGCTCCTTGCGTTCGTAGGTATGGTCGGCAAAATCCTGTCTCAGTACATCGGTGGTAACGATGCTGGGGGCGGTGCCTTCAAAAGGCTGAGGGGAGTGATTTGCTGGCGCTTCCAGGGTTCATCCAAATGTGGTCTCATGATCGCACCGGTATGTGCTGTTGATCACACCGGTTGAATCCGTCCGCTCATCAGGCGAATGGCAGTTGATCAAACTTCTCGAACCCGCACCTCATACCCTCATGAGGCCATGGCGGAAACTTACACATTAAGCGATGGCGGATGGCGGTAGATCTCATTTCTTACCCTCATCAGGCGATGATGGCGGCTCAAAGCCAAAGCTCAAGAAAGCAAACCCAGAAGCCAAAAACAAAACAAGCCGAAGACAAACAACCTAATGCCGGAGACCGGCCGTACTTGCGCTGATGTACAACCAAAAAATCTGCGGCGATGTTTTCTCTCGCAGCTTCGAGGCTGAAGCCATGGGGCCTGTACATCCACCTCAAGCACTCGCGTCAAGCACTCGTGTGCTAAAGCTGAAGAGCATGACTCCTTGCTGCACTGAAAGGGCCAAGCCCACGCTATTTCAGCCACACTCCCACCCGATACTCGCTGCTGCTGCGAGCCTCATCGTGAGGCGAGGACGCCCGATGCTTGAAGGCAGTGTGGAAGACCGTCTTGATTCGACTGTAAGGGGCTTGCACGCCCCGTTCATAGTGGAATTGTCGGAAAACCAAGACCTCGTCCGTGGTCATGTCTGGGTAGTAGTACCACTTCTGGTCTGTGTTCTGCTTGAGTAGCAAGCTCCGCTGACCTCCAGGAACAAAGCCGTACATCTCTATCGGCACACAGTCCTCGACCTTCACTGTGCTGGGATCACAAACTGCCAGGGGTGTGTCTTTCACTGGGCCTGCCATGGGCGGAACAGGGCGCCAGAAGTTTATGATCGAGAATCCTCCTGTGTCTTCGTGATAACACCGCTCTAGAAAATCCTCGAAGCTTCCATCGACGTCCGAGCAGGCTATCCCATAGGTCGTCTTCATGTCCTCAGGATACAGCCCGTAGTCCTGGTGCACCCCGAATCCATAAAAGGGGTTGGGCCCCCCGGGTCCACGGCGCAGAGCAAAGGATGGAAAAGAGATCTCGGCAGCCTTCGGCAACAGTTCCCGGATTAGCGGCTCGATCTCCTTAGCATAGATGTCACGTACCTTCGAGGATGAGGGCTTCCTAGAAGACTTTCCCTGCAAGGGTTTCGTGCTGTCGGCCAGCCAGTCCTCTGCAGTCATCGTGCTCTGATGTTTCAGAAGGACGAAGCCGTACTTCTCGAAAAAGTCATGCTTGCTCAAACCCTCTGCTACCTCTTTCTTGCGTGCATCAGCCATGTCGACTGGAAGACCCGCCTGTTGCTTCCTCATGTTCTTGACGGTCAGGCGACATCGCGAGGAGCAAGGAGGCAAGCAAAAGTACTTGAAGCATGCTGCAAAACCTCCACCCAGGCAACTGTAGTCGAACACAGGTCTCTCTCCCGGCGTCAGCTGTACGTCTGCCTTGACGAAGCCATTCATCCGAACTGTCTCGGTCATCACGCTGCTGAATCGCACGGCAAATCTACAAAGGCCCTGGGCCGGCAGTAGCGCTTCAGCCGAAATAAGCAGATACACATTTATCGGCTGTGATACCCAGTTTAAAATCTTAAATCCCTGCTCGGAGCCTACGCGCCTAAGCACCCTTCCTCGGCCTCCTTCGCTGACAGGATATCGTCCCAGGTCACGGTGCCTTCCTGTGCTGAGTCAAAGGAGATGTCCCGACATACATGCATGCATACATACACACGTACATATGTATATATGGTATATGCTGCGCCCACGCCGCTTCAGTAATGTGAGTCTGATTCCCACCGATACTTGAACTGCTACTATATACAACACACGACCACACTTGCCGTACTTCATCGATAGTCCAGAGTCTAGCAGCCTAGCATTGCAATCCCGCAACCAGTCATAAGATGACGCAGCAATCACAACAAGCATCGCTTGTTCTTGGCTATATGCATGACAACATACAAACACGCAAACAAACAAACGAGCAACAAATACATGAAACACATATATATATATATACATACACACACACATGCATACATGCATACATACATACGTACATACATACATACATAAACACACACACACACATACATACATACATACATACATACATGCATACATACATACATACATTACTGACATACATACAATAGTACATACATACATATATTTACATACCTACATACCTAC